GTCGGCCACGACGCGATGGCCCGCGCGCGCCCTGCACTCCCCGCCCGCCGACAAGTCATGGGGGCACTCTTTCCATGTTAGCAAGAACGTGAGCGACAGCAGGTGGGTCTGCTCGGCGCTGCCCCAGCGCGTCGCAGCCGCGGCGCGCGCGTCCGCGGCAAGAGCGAAATGCGAGGGGGGCGCCGCAAGACCGCCCGGTCCAGAGACGGCCGCGCGCGAAGAATCGCCGCGACGTCGATGGGGGGCAGGGCGACGAGGTAGGGGGGGGGCCCAACTCCAGGATGTCCCGAGAGCGCCTCCGAAGATCCCGAGACGCCTTCCGGAGTCCCCAGGCAGCCTTGAAGCCGAGGATAAACGGAGGGGCCCCAAAGAGGTGCTCGCCTGCGCCGCCGTAGGCTCGATGCCGCTTCTCGCTGGCATGGCCAATCGTTTCTGGAGCTCGGGCCCCCGACTGGTTCTGGCGCTGTTTTCGACAAGGCCCAGGGCCCGGGAACGACCGATCCGAAGACGACTCCGACGAGGCAACGGGGGGGGAAGTAGAGAAGGGGACATGTAACTCTCGCTCTTGCCCAAGCAAAAGCGCGCCGCCTGCGGCGCGCATCGTTCCCACGCAGCCTCCTGGAGCTCAAAGTCCTGAGTGATGCCGAGCTCGTCGATCGAAATCGCGCGATGACCGCGCGGCAGCCTCTTCGTGCAGCTGGTGGCCCCTAGCCAGCCTAACGTCATAGCATCGTCTGGCAGATCGATCGCAGCCTTCAACTGCCCCTGTATTCCGATGGGCATCAGGACAGGCGCGCCGTGGCCTATATCATATCCAGCTCCACGATACCAACCTCCCCCTCGATGCCCGCGGGCGCCAGCAGGCCGGCCATGACCTCGGCGCGCCCTCCGACGTCTCGAGCGAAGTCGCGCTTGCTCTTCTCGCGGAGAACCCTGCAAGACGCTGCTCCAGTCGGTCGAAAGCTGCTGGCCCTATCAGGCCCGCCCCGCCGCGCGGCGATGTCGGCGGAGCCCGTGGCCAGAAATGTCAGCACCTCCGCCCTTCTCTCGAACGTTTCCCACCGCCTTGCGGACCACCTCGCGCGCGTTGCGCGAGAGGTCTGTCTTCGAAGCGTGGCCGCCATGGTCGGCCCAGACGCGTTCAGCGCGACAAACCCAGACGCCGGCCCCCGCCCCCCCGCCGGCGCTGCAGCCCGCGCGCGGTCATCAGCTTGCTTATTGGCAGACGCTTCTTTCTTTCTCGAACCGCTCCCTTCGCACTCCGACGACGCCCATCTTGCTTTCCTAAAGGAGGCGGTGGTGGCCGAGAGCCGGGTGCCCCCGGCGTCTGGTATAATCTCTAATCGACCTTCAGCTGCCTCTTGCGGTCTCGGTTATCCTTCCACGTCTTCTTGCGCTGCGCGTTCAGCGTCGGCGACACCTCCTGCAACTCGTGCTCGCCCACATCTGCCTCCACAGTCAATTCCAACAATATTATCACTTGCTCGGAGGTCATAGACGAGGCATCGCTGTACTCATACCACTCATTATCGTCCTCGTGCGTCGCGAAGGTGCGAGCCGTCGGCTTGCCCGTCCTTGCGCCGAGGTGCTCTGTGTGCGAGACGTCCATCTCGCGAGCTACGTTGATCGCCTCTTCGTGCTGCTTGGAGTCTCTACTCACGACCTCGAGCATACGCATGCCTGTCTCATCCAGGCCGATACCCTCTTCTAAAACGAGAAGCTTCCAGCTATCATCAAAATCCAAACCTTGAACTTTTAGCCTCTCGAAGGTCTGGCCCAGCCTCACAATATACACCGAGAGCCTCTCGCCAGCTTTGCGGCGATAGCCCTCTCGCCCAGCGCGATGCCCCTCGTCGTGTATCCTCTGTCCGCTCATGACTTCCAACCGGCGGATGATGACCATGGCGCCGTCTTCGGACTGCAGCGTCTCATATCCATATGTCCTCGAACTTGAGCTGCATGTACGTGTCCAGGGTATTTAGGATCTTGTCCGCTCTTTTCCTCGGTGGAACGACCGCCTGGCTCAACCATCGAAACATTCACGGTCTCCACAATCGATACTCCAGCCAACCCATGATCTCCTCGGGATCTGCGTATTCTGCATCCTCCCAGATGCTGCTGCTCCACCGTGTCATACCACTCGACCTGCTTCCAGTCGGCGAAGCTCCACTTGACCTTAGATGATTGCTTGTAGTTGCCAATCCATTCGTCCCATCCTGCTTGACTCCACTCCTGTTTCTCGTCATAGCCTGACCGGCGAGCGCCTCCAAATGAATCCTGCTTCACCCACGGGTCGCTGTCGTCGCGAACTGTCCAGTCTTCACCCTCTCGTTCCTCGCTCGCAGTGTCCCTGTCCAGATAATTATGAAGCAAGTGTTCTGTTTGCTCCAGCTGTCTCCTCATAATATGCTCGATCTCCGCTGCTCTCTGGTAAAAAGATCTGCTTCCACTGTGTCATCTGACGTGGCCTTCTCGCCTGGCGCTGTCTGTGTGCCCTGACCCTCGCCGTTGCCATCCTTCAGTCCGCCTGACATACTGCCGCGGACCGCCGTTCACTCCGCTAGGAATGTCACGCTCCTGCTACCACTGACTCGCGAAAACACATCAAGCGATAATCAATGGGATGGTGGCCATGGGGTCTTGTCCTCAAACACACGACAGACTAGGGCTGAGAGGGTACCCTTGATACGAAGCGGCCATAGAACAACAACCACAGAAGCTCAATATCATGTACTGATGCACAGAGAACGAAACCATTCACTCAATTACCATCATCACCACCATCAACATCACACATCCTCACCAGCAGCACATGATATCAAGATCACCATCATCATCATAATCAGCATCATCACCATCATAATCCTCGTCATCATCACGATCATATTGATCCCCGTCATCGTCATCGTCATCATCATCGTCGTCATCGCCATCATCATCCAGATCGTAATCATCATCATCATCACCATCAGCATCATCATCGTCATGATCATCGTATTCATCCCCGTCAGCGTCAGCGCCATCATCATCGTCACCAACATCGTCATCATCACCATCATCGTCGTCATCATCATTATGGTAGTATTCATCCCCGCCAGCGTCATCGTCATCATCATCAGCATCATCATCTCGTCTTGCATAATAATGGTATGACGCCTCCTGGCCTCTGCTCTGCCACTGCCGCACACAACCCTCTCGGCGAACTTCCTGCCGTGCCCAAATGTGACGCTTTCCACCCGATTCCACCCGATCTGTGCCGACCTTCTCGACGCACTCGTCTTCCGGCTGGGCCAGGCCCGGACCTTCTCGACAGCTGGCATCAGCCCTTGACGCAGAGGCATGGGACTCGCGTGAGCCCGTCGGCGGCGATGATAGGGGCGAATAGCCCAGGGGCGGGCATTACACGTCTTCGCCCGGGAGCCTTTTCGAAGACATCGATCATCGGCGCACCTGAATGCATGCATTGCTCTCCCCTGGGCTGTTCGCCCCTGTCGTCGCCTCTGAGCCTGATCGCACGAGCGGCCACCGACGAAGGTCCCGGCACCGGAGGCCCCTCCCGCTCTCCGCGCCACATCGTGGCTGGAGGTGTTGCGAGTGCCCCTCCAGCTCGCCCGCTCGAGCCAGGGGGCTCGGCGGGCGGACGAGGAGGAGGAGGACGAGGACGCGAGGGGGAAGCGGAAGGCGAAGAGAGGGAAGAGAGACACAGCGACGACGACACGGAAGAGAAGGAGGATAATGACGAGGAGGGCGAGGAGATGAAGGACGAACACGAGGATGAGGAGGATGAGGATGAAGAAGAGAGCGTGATCCACCGCCGCTTTACTGTGGAAAATTCCCCCCCTCTTCCTAACACGCCCCCCCCCCCTCCGAAAATCCCTCCTCCCCCCCTGGACCCCCCCCCCCCTCACCCCACCCTCCCCCGCAAAACCCCTCCCCTCCCCTACCCTCCCTCCCCCCCCCCCCTCCCTCCCCCTCGAAAGCCGGGGGGGGTCACTACCGGTTCGAAACCCCCCCCCCCTCGAAAACCAGAGGGGGTCACTACCGGTTCGAACCCCCCCCCCCCCCCCTCACCGCCAGCAAACGACTCCCGGTCCCTACCACCGTCCGCACCACATCCCCCACTGTTGTTCCCAGCACGACTGTCCTCACCACAACTGTCCCCACTGGTTCCACCACCGTCCCTACTGTCCCCACCAGTGCCCCCACCACTGTCGCACTGTCCCCACTGTCCCCACCACTGTTTCCACCACGATTCCACTCTCCCCACTTTCTTCACGGCCCCAACCACTGCATGACTATCCCCACTGTCCCCACTGTCCCACTGACTCCTCCGCTGTCCCACTGAGCTGTCCCACTGTTCCCACCACTGTCCCCACTGTCCCCACCACTGTCCCCACTGTACTTCTGTCCCATTGTCCCACCGCCGTCCTCGCCACCGCTTTCACCACTGTCCCCACCAGCATGTACCCTCCACTGTCCCACTGTTTCCACCACATTCCCACTGTCCCCACACCACTGTCCCCACCACCCCCGTCCCCACCACTGTCCCACTGTCCCCACTGTTCCCACCGTTGTCCTCACCACTGTCCCCACCACTACCGTCCCCACCACCGTCCCACTGTCCCCACCACTGTCCCGCTGTCCCCTCACCACTGTCCCCACCACCACCGTCCCCACCACTGCACCCCCCCCGTTTTTCGAGGGGGGGGGGGTTCGAACCGGTAGTGACCCCCCCTGGTTTTCGAGGGGGGGGGGGGTCGAACCGGTAATGAACCCCCCCCCTTTTCATGATGGACTGGGGGGGGGAGGGGTTCGAACCGGTAGTGACCCCCCCCGGTTTTCCGGAAGGGGGGGGGGGAGAGGGGTTCGAACCGGCAGTGACACCTCCCCTGTTTTCCGCCAGCAGCGGTAGAACACGCTCTTTCCGATGAAGTGAAGGAGCACGAAGAGTAGGACTAGGATGACGAAGAGAAGGAGGAGGAGGAGGTAAAGCCGCACCTTTCCTCTGGTCGAGGGCGCGGTGTCGTTTGCAGCTGCCCTGCTGCAACCTGCGTGACCTCGTCGCCCACCCATCTGGTCACCTGGTCTGAATGATGTCGCGGTCAAGAGAGGAGAGGATCTCGAGGAGGAATGAGGAGGGAGCTCCCTCCTCCTCTCCTTACTTGTCCTCCTTCCTCCTCCTCTCGTCCTTCTCCTGATCCTCCTCCTCCTCCTCCTCCGCCTACTACCCCGAGCCCTGAACGACGAGAAGAAGCCATCACATTCAAACTGAGAAGGCTGCAGTGCTGCCACTGCTACCATCGACTGCGCTGGCAAACTGATGCGTGTCCCTACAGGACACCTGGGTAAAAAGACGGGGGCAAGCAGCGGGCACAAGACGAATAGAAATATCAGCAGAGCTGGGATTGCACTGTATTCGCTAACTGGAAGAATTCGACATGCAAAATGGAGCGCCATGGGCGAGCGAAGACACATGCAACATGCAAAAAAAAAACTCTGGCGTGACCAGACGTCGACTGTCGGCAACACTACCCCAACTGTCGGACGTAGATGTGCCCGACCTGCCGTGAGCCGAAAGGGTCCTGGAGGAAACGGGTCCTGGAATGCCTGGTGCGCCCCCGAAACCAGCTTCCTCGAACCGTTTCTCGACGGGGGCGTCAAAAAAATGAGGACACCGCTGCTCCCTGGACCTCTCCTGGGGTGCAGTCTAACCCGTATTTCGGAAGGAACCCTGAATAAAGAACGGGGCCCCTTTCTCCCATAAGTTGAACTTCGATTTCCCATGGAAAACCTCAGGAAAACAGAAGGCAAACTGTAGAACAATCAAGGAACACCGAGCCCCTCCCCAACGAAAAGGGTTCCTTCTGCATGGCCCCGGCTGTACCTCAGGGCCACACTCCGTCCAAACTCTACGGGAGCTCTCCCTGGAGGTCTCCGCGGCCCTCCACAGATGCGCGGAGGCCCTGCGGAGCCAGAGGTAGTCGTCGAGGATGTCAAACCCAGAGCTTGAGAACTCCCTTTCGTTGAGAGATGGAAAAACGACCCTACCCTGGGTTACAAGTGCATGGTCTGTAAACCTCCCGGGAACCCCCAAAGCCTAGAGCCGCCAGGACGCGGCACATCACGCAGGGTTTACCCTGTCAGCCCACAGGAGTTTCAGCGCACAGCGCCTCGTAAACCCAGGCAGGGGCGTTTTTATGCAAGGGCTCCTAACTTCGCGCTTCGCGCTGCGCGAAGCGCGAAGTGCGAATAACTTCGCACTCTCGCGCCACCTCCCAGGGGAGAAGTGGAGGGTGAGGAGGAATCGGAGCCGAACCGCGAAGCGCGAAGCGCGAATAACTTCGCGCCCTCGAGGGCGCCCTTGTTATGCCTTTGATTTCGGACCCCTTCCGGCTCAAGGCAAACGACCGGTGGCCCCACGTGCCCGCGCGTGGGCCGGGACGCTGTCCGATTTCGCAAGCAAGCTGACAGCCGGGCTCTCGACGGCACGGTCGGGGCAGCCAAGCGAGGCGCCGCGTCCTCGTCCTCTCCCCGTCCCCCCGTCCTCGGGCTCCCGCTCGGCGTGCTTCCCCTCCCCTGCCCCTGCTTCTCCTCTCCTTGGGGGGAGGGGGAGGATTAGATGGAGGAGGGGAGGGAAGGAGTGAAGGAGGGAAGGGGGGGGTGGGGAGGACGAGGGAGAGCCTGATCGGACAAGCACGGAAGCGCCGATTGTGTCCACTGGGCTCGTAGGAGGAGAAAAGAGAAGGACGATGGCGACGACAGGGCGACAGACAACGAGGATGATAGCGTGGACGACGGGGAGAGCAGCGAGGCAAGCAGGAGGACAACGAGTAGGAGGACAACCACAAAGACGAGGAGGAAGAGATGGAGGAGGACGAGCACGAAGAGGAACGAAGCGGAGGAGGACGAGGAGGAAAAGGAGGAGGAGGAGGAGGATGACAAGGACGGCGGGGGAGGACGGTAGGGAACCCGAGGGAAAGGACGTCGAGTAAAAGGGAGCCGTCTGCTGCCATCTTGAGGCATACTGGGGGCCTGTTGGGGACCTCTCAGGGTAATCTTAGGGGCTACTGATGTATTGGGCGTGTCTTAGGGTTCTATGGGGCTCTCTCAGGCAGTCCTGGCGCCATCCTGGGCTGTCTTGGTGACTGGGGGCCTCCTGAGGCGCTATTAAAAGCCTCTTGGGGCCCTGTTCGTGTCCTCCCGTGTCGTTTTGAAGCCCTCTGGGGGCACATGTTGGTTCGGAGCCCACTCTGGAAATAAGGTTTTTGAATCAACGAAATCCCGGTTCCCGGTTCCTGGCTCCCGATTCCCGGTTCCCGATTCCTGGCTCCCGATTCCCGGTTCCCGGTTCCCTCCATGAGCTTCCGATCTGCGCTAATTAGCGAAGCATCGCTAGTTAAGGAGGACGCGGAGATGAATATCTACTATTAGTGGTGTCAGCCTTAATGGCGAGTACCCAGCGCTACATTTAATGAATGCGCGCGAATTAACACGTGCACGCGCTAATCATAGCTTGTTAAATTAGCGAATAATACGCGTTAGTGAATTAGCGCGTGCGCCTTACTGCGGACGGCGTCGCTCGGGATGCGCAGCGCTATGGAATCGGGCCGGAATATTTGATGCATGAACTAGTTTGAGCACGCGTACAAAGCGTCACAAGCCCAGCGAAGGGAAAGAAATTCGAGAATAGTTGAGAAGGAGAGAGAGAGAGAGAGAGAAAAGAGAGAGAGAGAGAAAAAAAAAAAAAAAAAGAGAGAGGGAGAGAGAGAGAGAGAGGGGGAGGAAGAGATGAAAAGAGGGAGAGAGAGAGAGAGAAATAGAGAGACAGAGAGAGCGCGAGAGCGAGAGCGAGAGCGAGAGAGAGAGAGAGAGAGAGAGAAAAAAAAAAAAAAAAAAAAAAAAAGGGGAGAGAGATAGAGAAAGAGAAAGGGAGAGAGAGAGAGAGAGAAACAAACAAAAAACGATATATATATATATATATATATATATATATATATAATATATATATTATATATATATATATATATATATATATGTGCAAAGAGCTAGATAACACAGTCGAGAGAAAGAGAGAGAGAGAGAGAGAGAGAACAACAAAAATAATAACATAACAACAAAATGAATGATAATTCCCAACCTCCTTCACAGGCGACTCCTCGTTTTATGTTTTTTTTTTTGCGCGGCAGCGTTGCAGCGGGCGAACCAGAGGTTCCATGCGGAACCTGTCCAATACATTGCCAGAGAAGGCCTCTGTGGTCATCGGGGCGCCGCGCCTCCGTGGGATCCTGCTGGCGGTCCCTCCAAAATCTTCGTCGCGGCACGTCCAATTAGCTTTCGGGTCAGATCCCTCGGCGAGGCGCACGAAAAGATGCAATTTCGGTGGGCACCTCAAGAATGCAGGGCCCCGCTGTGCGAGTGCGTCGTAGAGGAACACGAGGCGCTCGCCGTTCGTCGACGCGGCGCCCCTCCTGAAAATAACAACTGTCCGCAAAACCTCGTGACAGTTGCGAAGGTGGTTCGTCCCTTCGAGGATGGTTTGTTCCAGGTTGTTGCCAGCGCTCAACAGTATGTCGCATTCCTCCCACACCCGCCCCTCCAGAGACCTGCGCGCGCCAGCCGTGGCCCGAAGTTTCGGGGCGCTCCTCCTGCTTTTCTTTTTAATCGCGAGGAGCGTCAGCTCGCGGGGCCCGTCGCCCGTCTTGCCCCTGTCGTAGTGGGCTTGAATTGGCGACCGCGTCTTGTCAAGACGTTCGGATCGATTCCTTCCGCCATAATACTGTCGCTTAACAAGAACCACATCATTGACCCGAACCAATCCAAAGCAGCGCCCCGGCCCGCGCGGCGCCACCATTCCACTCGAAACAAGGGAAGGTCATCCACGAAGGGTGCCGAAAACAATGGCGACGTCGCGCAGCCGTTGCGCATGTTTCGATGAATCAATTCAGATTAGGCAGCTGCGCCCCCCGCCGCGGAGCGCCCCCCCGCGCCCCCCCGACCTCGAGGGGGGACAAATGCAAGTCGCCGGATTGCCCCGCAGCATGTTTTCGCCCCCCACTCCACCATGGACTTCTGCAAACGAAACGAAGGAGCGGCGGGGGGAAGGGGGGGGCGGGCGGCGGGGAAGGAGAAACTCGCATTCAAACCGCGAGATGCGGCGCCTGATCGGGCGCGCACGCGCGCCGCCGGCAACGGCCGCCCGCCTCGCCCCAAGCAAGGGGCCCGGAAGCGCATTTGCAGCTTGCCCAGTCTCCTCTGACGCCGACGAGAGCACCTTTGAATCCCAACGGCTTGTTGGAGCGACGTTGGCGATGCGAATCAGTCGCCTGCCGGGCGGCGCCGTCGCGCCGACGCGGCGGAAACGCCCCGCGTGCCATCGCTGAAAGCGACCGCCGCACGATCTCCACGCAGTCGTTGCACGCGTTTGAACTCACGCGGGACTTTGGAGGAAAACCGCAGCAGGAATCAGCGAACAAGAGTTGTCACTACTCAGCCCGGGCAAATTCATCTGAACGAGTTCGACTGAATCGTTCCTGTCGAACTTGTTGGGCACGCCATCCGCCCAGAGACCAGCGGGTAGGAGGCTCGGCGCGCCCGTCGCCGCCTGGCGTCGCAACAAATGGGTTTGTGCCTCGACGTCCAATCCTTCCGCGTCAAAGAATTTCGAGCCATCGGAATGCGCGCGCATGACTGAGAACATCTCGTGAGGCAACAGAGAACTCATATCCGAGCGCACTTCTCCGTTCAGTTTCGGATTCCACGTTCTCGCGCTCGCCGCGCACGTCGGGGGCCACTTGCGCGCCTTCAAGAAATTCCTTCGCAGATCTCCGGCAGCGTTCCTGCCCCCCCCCCCGCGTCGCGCGGCGGCTGCGTTGGAATCGCCGAACCGACCAGGGGGCAACTCGCTCAGCGGGGCCAAGACGCCATGCCCGAATTATCGCGCTGATTGTCTGTGCTCGAGAAATAAATCCCTGATGGCGCCGCGCGGGCGCTTCGACCGGGGGCCGTCGCCCTGCCTCGGCCGCGATTGGCGCCCCCCCCCCCCCCCCCCCCCCCCCCTTGAGCACGGGCACCCCTCCGAGGCGGCCCGCAAAAGAAAGGCGCTCGAGCACGGGCGGCCGCGGATCAGCGGGGCCGGCGAGCAACTGCAGCTCCGCGCGCCAAGCACCTGGGGAGGGCGAGCGGGCGCGCCAGAGGGGGCCCCCCCACGTCAGCTGGGGGAAACACTGTTCGCCCCTCCTCCTTCTGCTCCCCCCCCCGCCCCCTCCTTCTCCATGCCCCTCCCCCTCTTCCTTCTTCTGCCCCTCCCCCTCCACCTCCTCCTTCTCCATTTCCCCCTCCTCTTCCTCCTCCTCCTCTTCCCCCTCAGCGTCAGATGATGAGCTCCATTCTGGTTCGTCATCTCCTGGCGCGCGCCCGCGCGAGTTTTGGGCTCGCCCTCATCTGCGCCCCCGCCCTTCGCGCGCATCGCAAGTCTCGGGGGCCCGCTCCAGGATGAGGGGCGTTCCCGCCCGACGACGAAGCAGCCCTTGACTCTGGGCACTTGCTCCGAGCACCTGGTCTCAGAGCAGGTCACCATGGCCCGCGGAATGCTTCCTTCGCCCTGCGACTCCGCGGGCAGGGCAGCAACGGGCCGTCGAGGCAGCGGCGCTGGGTTGCCTGCAGACTTGGCGGCTGCAGCCGCCGCGCCCGGCCCAGCAGAGCGCCCCCGCGCAATCTCGAGAGAACCCTTCGGGAGAGACCAGGGGCCAGGTCGCGCCTCCGCCGCGCCTGAGGCAGCCTTGACGGCTTTGCGCGTTCTTCCCCCTCGCCTTCAGGCTCGCCATCAGCGTCTCCGCGACCAGCCCCATCGCCCCAGTTGTGCACCCCATCAATTGCTAGACGAATCATCGCATGTTTCGCCTAATCCGTGGCTTCTAACGCGATCCTTGTCGGAGCGGGTGGCTCCAATACAAATTCATCACATGTTTGGGCGGCGAGAATGGCCTGATCCCTGGTTTCTGATCCCCCGAATGGAATCGCATGTCTGGGCGGCGAGAATGGCCTGACCCCTGGCTTCTGATCACCGGAATGGAACGCGATCCCTGTCGGAGCGGGCGGTCACTACCGGTTCGAACCCCTCCCCCCCCCCCCCGGCTCAAGAACCTGTCTCTCGCTGCGAAAAGAAAAACCCGGAACCCCAGGAATTCCGGGTCTACCCCCCTGGAATTCCGGGTCTACCGTAGCGCGGGCAGTGCCTCGAGAGGTCGTATTCGCCGGCCGCGCGCCCGGCAGCCACGGCCCCGCCGTGCGCGCGCGGGCCTAGACCAATCCCGCGTGTCCCTGTCAGACGAATACCATGAGTGCTCATCTCCTGCCGCGGCGGTTTGACCGCCGGCAGAATACGGAGATTCAGTGACGTCATCGTTGGCCCGATCGTCTTGGACGTCGGGTCTGCGTGGAGGGGGTGGCGGATCGGGGCGGCCAGCTGTGCTGGGCCTCGCTTTCGCTCAAGGGGGC